AATACTAAACCGAATCTGAGAGAGCTGTCAACCTACACAATTGTGTAGAAGCAAGGGTGAGTACCGAAAACCACAGGTACTCGCAAGTAACTCTAAACTAAGCAAAACTAGCAGCTACAAACAACTCATTTCAATCCCAATCGAACCACCGAAACTTCAATCTAGCAGCAAACCAACCAACCTATACTAAATAGATTATATTCAACAGCCAGAACCAACAATATATCCTCATCAACCTCAGATCAACAAATAAGAGCAAGTAGATCAAATTCCACATAAGAAGGGTAAACCGATACAATCCACACATCACAGACAAAGATAAGGCAAATGCGATGGAAAATGCAATAATGATGTCATGTAGTCGTGATGCATGTCTGTCCTACGATACACATCATAGTATTACACATCATCTGTCTAAATCACAATCATATCACGACCACATCATATTACACATCACCTGTCTCAATCACAACCATATCACGACCACATCATAGTATTACACATCATCTGTCTCAACATCAATGTCTGTATCAATCATAGCCTACTCATGCTCTTCTATCCCCTCAATATCAGTTATCACATGACTTATTCAACAAATTCAAGTCACATATAACACATTTAGCTCGTTTTATTCCACATCTTTCATTTACAACAATTTCAATCAACAAATAAAACTCATCCTCAATCCCCATTACTCCTCAACACAATTAGGAAAGTAGTCATGCGTAGTCTAAGAGTATTACAAAATTTGGAAGCCACTTGCCTTAAAACGAACTCCAAAAGTTACTTGACTTGAGCCTTTCCTTTCCGAGTATTATCCGGATCGCGATAATCTATTCAAACAATTAATCACAATCACAATTCAAGTCCAATGACACCAAAATCAAGAAATTTAGGGGAAAATGGCAAAACGGTCCAAAAGTCTCATATCGGAAAACGATACCCAAATCTGGAATTTTTTTATGTAAAATGATCCTTAAAGTATTTGGAAGCTAATGGTGAAAACCAATTTGCAAACGAAGTTGAAATCAGTTCACAAACTCAATTTGAAGGAAAATCCACGTTCTTGAAGAAGCCTAAAATATTCGGATCCGAAACCCCGACTCGAAAATGAAATATCTCTTGAAAAACATCTTACCCATGCTTAGATAAGTTCAAATATGAAATTTCATCAAAAACGAAGTTAAGATCGACCTTGAAATTCTCAATTTATCAAACTTTAACTTTACCGGGAAAGTCCAAATTGTACGCGGTTAATATGATGAAAATAATCTATGAATCAATAATTTTATGTTAAAATCAGTTTACCCATAACATAAGGATCGTAAATATACCTTTTTCATCAAAAAGGGAGTCCAAATCGATAAAACCCCAATTTTTCCCAAGAGGTTTACGAATAGGGAAAAAAACCAGATAAAGAAATTATGATAAAATGTTGAATTGAAGATTGAATACTAACCCTCATATTAATTCAAGAAGAAACCCGTAAGAATCACTCCATTCCAATCTCTAGAACTCCCGATATGCTCAAAATATCAAATGAACACAGTCTGAGATTTTTATAACAGTACATGGCTGTTATGCACCAGAAAAACAGCAGTTAATCTTTCACTAAAAAGACCGTAATTTCCTCATACGATAGTGAAATGACCCGATTCTTTTTTGTAAATGTCTTAAATAATGATACAGACCTGCTCGTTCAATCGGAGCTCAATTTCATGCTCGTTTGCCCAGTCAAATATCATTTCTACTCAGTAAACAATTATTTCTTATTTGCGATAAAAGTCCAATCTCGGGTTAGCGAAAATGCACCAAAATTTGCAAATAAGTCCTATAATTCATGCTCTAAATTTCAGAACCTTCAGAATAATTTTTCAACCTTTAAAACTAATAATGAACCCTTTAGTTGCCACAATTTGCTGAAATAGTGTCAAAGCATCCAAGAAGCTTAAAAGCTCACCCAAAACTCATTTGACACTTCCCGAACACAAACCAAATATGCTACTAGCTTGAAAATGACATTTCGGACTCAATGACATCTTCGGAATTTGAATTCGAGGTCCCCTTGACCCGGTATCCGATAAGGCGTCAAGAAACTAACTTTAGGCTCAAAAACTCGAAACGCACTTGGGGCCTCTAAAAATTCAACCAAGACTCATTCTAGACTTAGAATCACCCCCTGAATCCAACGGTGCCCTCGGAATTCCATTTCGAGCACCGGAACCTCGTTTGTTGACCAAAGTCAACTCTTGATCAAAATTTCACAATTTTTGCAACTTAGGACCTCAAATCTTCGTTTTAACTCCAAATTCGACTCCGTAAATTTTCATAGACCCGTTTCGACATTCTAAAACTGCTGGAATCGACGGAAATCCGATTCGAGTCTCGAAACTCCAAATGACTCGAAATAGCACTTTTAACCAAACTTTAACTCTTAAAAACTCAACTTTCCAAAAACTCAACTTTTCATCAATTTTCCTTCAAACCAACTTCGAAAATACAACAATTAGGACTCGGGGCAACTATCGGGAGGGGTAAAACGGTCATTTTATGAAAATTTCCAAAAATGACCTTTAGGGTCATTACATTTAGTTACGTTTATATGCACTTCAATTTTAAGGAATGGACTTAAAACTAATTTTTAATCATAAAAGCTAATCTCATGAGAAAATATTATCAACCAAGAACATGTAAGAACTCGTCCTGTCAATGAATATGGAACTTAACATTCTTCCATACATCCAAAATTGAATAAGTAAAATTTTAACATTGCAAATTCAGGACCTTATTTTATATCATATTAAAAATAGACATAAAAACTAATTAATCACAAATTTTATATCATATTTCAATAATGTGAAAGGTACAAGTCAGCGTTACAAGCTCTTCATTGACTTGCTAAACGAACCATTTCAAATTTTGAACCTTCCAATTCAATGAACCTTTTAAACCTTTGAACCTTTTCAACTCTATGAATTGCTGTTTTGTCACCAATTTAACATGGATTTAAAATGTGAACCTTTTCAACTCGGTTTAACAATTTATTTTCTCAGTTCAACAATGAGTGTTTTCATATCTATGAACCTTTCTTCTTCTTTTTTCCAACCTAATGAACCTTTTCAAAATTAGTACTATAATACCCTCTCTGTTTCTTAGACATATTTTTTTTGGTCCATTCACTAAGAAATGACTTTTTCATAATTAAAAATAATTTAACTTTGAAATTCATTTTTGAAATGATTTATCGTCATATGGAGTAAATGGTTAGTGAGTATTTTAGATTGTAAATTCAAAACTCTTCCTTTCGTTTTTATTTGTCAAATCAAACAATATCATGTAAATTAAAATAAAAATTGGAAAAAAGGTACAGGTGTCAGCTTTTGTACATTAGTTGGAGTGGACCATTTTAGTGTCCACGTAAGCACTCCAAAAAGCGAGATGCGAATTTCTTGAATAACCACTCCACAGCCTTGTGAACCAAGTAACTGGAATTTACAATTTGGTCCTTTTTTGAACTGCTATAAAGGTGCCCTTGCCCTCCCTTTAACTCATTCATAAATCATCAACCTCTTCATTCTCTATTAGATATATCCAATTTCAAAAGCTCTGTTTTACTCTGTCCTGCTCAACACAAAAAATATGTCTATGGAAAAATCAGCGATCAAGTCAAACCAGAACCTTTGCTTTCCTCGAAGAAGGGGACAAATCAAAATGAAGATTTTGAAATCTATGGTGAAATCAGCTGTTGGATTGGCTTCCATGAGGAGTCAATCAGGAAGGGGAGGGTCCGGGTCCGGGTCTTCGACACCATCCACAGCAACCCCTAGTGGTTACGATTCTGATAGGTGAAATCACACTGATCAATTATCGCAAAGAAAGGGATGATATTTCTCATTTGGATGTGGGAATTTTACGTTCCCCTGTTTTCTTCACTGGCTTCATCAGCGCGCTCGCCTTGAAAATACTTTTTTTAATCTGTCGGATCAGCAGTGGTTTTATATTTACCTTGTGATGTGACTTTAATCCGAGCTAAAGATTGGAGGTGGAGGTATCTTCGCTTGGATTATTCGTTAAAGACGAAGGCTATGATGTACATGTACTATTGATTCGATTTGTTTCGTTTTCAATTTCTCTGTGTAATACAAGTGAAAGTAAGCCTGTTTACTGTTTTCTGTTTTGGTTAATTGGAGTATTGTTTTACTCCATTTGTTTCAGCACTTCTTTTATTTGGGATGTTTTTTAATATATATGATTGATTTCATTTCAAATGAAATTATTTATATTTGGATATTGATGTGATATTTGTTTCAAAAAACAAAAAAAAAAATGTGATACTCCATTTGTTTCTCTATAAGTATAACATATTTCTAACTTTAAAGTTGTTTATCCTGTTTTTATAATAATAATAATATATGATGTTTTTCAATGTTAATAATTTCTTAATGAAAATTGAGAAAACAAGCTTTATAATATAAAACACGCCCTTTATCTATGTGATTGATAAAATTTATAGATTTTGCTATAATGTTTTGAAGTTCGGTCACTTTAAATCAGCAACATAAATCATTTTGAAGCAAGGGATTTTCATATGACACTCGTTGCTAATTTTTTATTCATGATTTTTTAAAAAATTTAAAGTTGGGCATGCCCTTTTTATTGAATGGACCACAATTATAAGTCAAAAATAAAATACATGATAATATATAAAAACTAAATCTAATTTACTTGAAATACAAGTTTGTTTTAATTTTAAATTGAATTTCACTAATAAAATTTATAATTTTGCAATTGACTTTAATACGATAGGTAGTTTGCGATTTTTCAAGTGAAGTTAATAATTTTGAAGTAATAAAAAAATAATTTCATGGCTTAATATAAGGCTCAATCACTACTCATTGCAAAACACTTTTTATAATTTATGATAAAATATCACTTTTTTAAAAAAAATTTAAAGTTATGAATTTTTTTGCGGAAACCACAAAAGTTTGAGAAAGTGAAATACAAGTCCAATAAACCAATCGGGTTTTATTGTTGAAAAGATTCAGGACAAAGGGGATTACACGATCAAAAAGAGAAGATGAAAATTCTTCAGATTTTAAGAAGAAAGCTCTCTTCTTCGCAGATTCAAAGCACAGCTACTCCTTCACTATCTTTGGCTTTCTTCTATCGTCAACTTCACTCCTCTTCCAATCCGTACTTAATTTATCTCTATCTCTTATTAGTACATGTGTTTTTGCTATAGTTTTTATGAGAATCTATAATCTCTTGATGCAGAGCTTCATTCGGCGTCGCGTTCGACATTGATGGCGTTTTGCTCCGCGGCAGCAACCCTATCGGCGGCTCTCCTCGAGCTCTCAAACGCTTCTATGATGATTCCGGTACGATGTCGTTTCGACTATCACATTTAGTTTATCTTTCTAATAGAACTAGATTCTTAAGGCCCATAATACGGGCCCAATATAATCAATTATTAATCATTATTTGACAAATATTAAAAGGTATTTCTATGGCATTCTGATCAACATTAATTAATATTGAATGATGTTTCTCATTCCTTAATTAAATATCTTAATTTTGAGTTTTGGATATGAAAAAAATTCTTAATAGAGAGCTCTATATCCGAATGGGCAACTCCAATATAAGAATCGAATACTGAATAAAAATATTAAATTAAATTAACCCAATAATATTTTAAAGTATAATTGATATTAGCGATGGGTAGATTCATTTTTTAAGTTGTAAAACTCTAAAGTATAATATTTAATTAATTTATTTATTTATTACTGTAAGACACAAATTTAGTAGGATTCAGAGTTAATTTGTCTGTTAGATTGGATTATATCTTATATAAAAATCATGAATCATTATGTATTATCATCTTGAAATCTATCCTATTCATTTCAATTAATTTGTCGAATTTTTCTTTATAATCTATTAAAAAGTAATGTCCCTTTTCTTTTCTTAGTTCCAACTCCACATAACATATTTAAGATCACAAGATTAAAAGATATTTACTATATTTCACATATTTTAAATTTAAAATCACAAGATTCAAAAAGCTTCCTTAATTTCTTAAACTTCATGCTAAGTCAATATAGAACAAACATATTGAAACAGAGATATTAATATTTTTTATTTATCACTCATACATAAAAATTAGAACTAAGAAGCATGTTTCACTATTACATGAAGTTCTATATATGCATAATTTGTCTTAATGAACATAATTTTTTTAGCATGATACAAATGTGTTTTTGGTTATCTTTTTTCATGCACAATAACTTATAGGAACAAGTATTTTTGTTATTTTTATCAGTTTAGTGAAAAAATTTCAAACAATCTGAAAACATAAATGCATTTTCTCTGTTTTAAAAAAATCTATTTAGAATTAAATGCTAAATTAGCATGATATTTTAATACATAGATCATTACATATCGTATTGATTTCCTCATCCAGATATTTTATCTTATTCCAAAATTTATTCATAATTTTTAAAACTACTATTAATCATTTGCTATTTTTGTCATCTCTTTCTAAATATTAATCTACTTAAATTTATTTTACTTCTCTAATTAATGTATTGATTTTTCATGTGTTCCGATTCTTAACTTCTTATTTCAAACAAAAGAATAGCAATATTAAGTAAATAAAGTAAACAATCTGATTAATCTTAAAATTTAAAATATTCTATTATCAAAATATTCTTATCATTAATGTACGTAAATTGAACACGAAAAATACTTATTATTTCTCATTAATATTTGATTCGCAAAATTTTAAAACTATTTATTTAAAAATTTAGTTAGTTTCTTAGTTTACTTTAATTTCATTTAATTTATCTATCCATTTTATTTATTAATTTTTATTTTTATGTAAATATTTTTATTTTTTAATACATTTTAAATCATGTTTGTTTCTTTTTATATTTATTTTAGTGCAAAAAGTAAAGGTGTTAATGAAATATAAATTGATTTAATAAATGGGTCCCACCATTTTTAGATAGTACGGCTACTTATTTTTTATTTTTTAATACATTTTAAATCATGTTTGTTTCTTTTTATATTTATTTTAGTGCAAAAAGTAAAGGTGTTAATGAAATATAAATTGATTTAATAAATGGGTCCCACCATTTTTAAATAGTACGGCTACTTATGATATTTTTTATGCTTTTCATGATAGAAAGTACACGTGGCCATCATAATAATAGCAACTTGGTTGGGTAATCTGGGAAATTCAATAATTTTGCAGCAGAAAGTACAATTGTTTTAAGCTGATAATTTTGGTAAAATGACAAAAGTGCCCCTGGTCGTCCTGGTCGTCTTCACTCTTCTATATAATAGAAAAATAGATAGAAATATAAAGTTGAACAAGTAGACAAACGTCATACGAGACATAATTCACGTAAGATGCCACATAGAATGTCGCATAGGACATGAATTATATCGCCGCGTAGGACGTTAAGTAGGACATATGTGTCTACTTGTTCATTTCTATACAAATTTTTGTGTCTACTATGTACATTCAAAATTGGAGAACACTGATGTCAAATGAAACCAAATTAAATGACATATTTATGTATTATGCATTTTAGAAAAATATATTTATATTTTTATATAAAATTTAACCAAACACGACTTTAATTATACATTTTTTTAATAAAATAAAACTATATTTTCATGACCGAACCAGATTAAGAAAGAAAATGATTAAAATGCCTCGAATTTAAATTTTGAATATGAAAAGAAATCTCATTAAAAGTAGTAAGTACATTCAAAAATAAATATGAACTCAAATTAATTATTATTATTTTTTTTAAAAAAAATGTGTGGTCTTGAATGCATAGACTTTTGAAGTGAGTCAAAAATGGGGTCCATGTTTTAACTTTGCATTAATTTCTTTTACTCCTCCCAATGTGTTGTACACGTGTGACAATGAAAATCAACAACTTAATGGTGGATAAAGTGGGAATTACATAACTTTTGGCTGATTTTTTTGGAATGTTCAATACTCTCAATGCAAAATGTACAATTAAATTAAGCTTGGAATTTTATTAAATTGACAAAAGTACCCTTGGTCGTCCTGGTCGTCTTCACTCTTCTATATAATAGAAATATTGTGATTATATAATGTTTGTCACAAGAGGTAATGAAAATGAAATTAAGAATTTTATTAGCTACAACTTAGCAATTGTAGGTGCCTAGTTATTATGAAAATGCCGAGATAACAATCTGCTTATATGTTTAAGGTAAAATGTGTACTGGATGTGGGAAAATAAAGAGGTATGATGGATAAATGTTCAATTTTTTTATTTTTTGTTTTGTTTAGCTCCTCTAAAAGAGACTTTAGTAATATTCATGATCTTATAAGGCGTCGAGGTTGATGCAAGAGAAAATGAGAATGATATTCCAGAATAAGCTCTAGCCACACATTCATTTTTCTTTTCCATTTATTACCCGCGAGCTTGATATATTTTCTTAATTGTTGATGTATTTGGCATGATAGAAAATGCTTGACGAAACTATTTTTCTTAGCAAAGTCATTTTTCAATGTTCGGTTATCAAGAATTGTAGAAAATTTCCATCAAAAGGGGGAAAGTGATATGCACTGGAGTGATTTTTCCTTACAAAATATCTGAAATCACATGCATTTAGACAATGTTATCGATCTTGTGATATGAAGTTGTCCTCTCCTCTGTGATGTTGTAGCATTACCATCTAAATACTACTGATTCATACTTTTATGGGCTTGGAGCTATATATAGGCACTTTTTGTTGGTAGCCCAGATCAGGTAGGTTAACTTCAGTAGCTTTTTGATTGTGCAGGTACTCTGAAGGTTCCCTATGTATTCTTGACCAATGGTGAGTGGTTGATGTAACCTGTTCTTGTTCAACATCCATTTGGTAGCATTGCAACTGGTTTTCATGCCTTCATTCTTTAGCTACTTAAAGTAACAGTGCCGTAAATGCAATAATTTAAGTTCTACCTATCAATTTCTGGAGTAGGATGAATCATGGCTTTAGAAGATATCTATCTCAATTAACTGGGGTATATAAACTTGTAGTGTCCTGTAACATTAATTGGGGTTTCACTGGCCTACTTTTTCCAAACTCTCATATGTAACAATAATTTGTGAATAATGAGAATCCTTGTTGAAATGAGAAAAGTTAGTATCGTAGAAGAGATTTTTTAGGTGGTTGAAGTTGTTGATACCAATATCCCTTAAACCATTGATGACTCATAGGATGTTAGTTCTCTCCCCAATGAATATGTTTTGGCAGTTCTATGAATACATAAAACCCAATGTCATCGGTTAGTATTTGGTTCCTAATTTCATAGGGAGATGAGTGCTGGATTTTCTACAGAAATATCTCTTGATTAGGACATTCCAAAGTCTATCAGCTTCCATGCTGGTTTCGCATTTGCATTCATTTTGTCTTTGGTTTCCACTTTTTATACCTAGCAAAATTGAGTGAAATTTAAAAACATGCACTTTTTTCATGTGTTTTATGCATCAGGTGAACATGAACTAGGTGTATCGATAAACTTATTAAAAAAAGAATTAGGTTTATTGATGGAGCTCTTTTATTGGATCTGACGATAGAGATTGAGTGAAAAATAATGCCAAATAGGTGGAGTGGCATCTTTCACTTAGTAGAATCACAGTAAATATTAATTCATCATAGACTAGTTCTCCTATCTGAATGATTCATTTTTCCTTCTATGACTCATTGAGGCAACGTTATTATAACCTACTGTTCTGGACTTTGAAGTAGTAGGCATGCATTTTGAGAGCCTATTACTTTATCAGACGTAAGGGGCTTAATGTGGTCTTTTATATTCAATAGGAGGTGGTGTTCCTGAATCTAAAAGAGCAAAGGAGTTGGGAAGTTTGTTGGATGTTAATATCCTACCTTTACAGGTATACAACTTTTGAGAGACATAGTGGTGAAGTTCTTTCTGATTATCCAAAATTTAGTATTGTCTTGATTATAATCTGCTCTTTCTCTTCAACAATTGGATCTTTCCATGAGTTGGTAGTCCTATGATGTGCTACTTGCTCCATGCTTAAAGTCTCTCGTGCATTTTGTTTGCTTGAATGGATCTGCAGGTTATACAGGGGCACTCACCGTTCAAACAGTTGATGAGAAGGTAATCTTTTGTTTGGTAGATTTCATTCCCCATTTTCCGCATTCAAATATAATAAAGAACAGTTAGTAGAAGAAAACAAAGATGGCTATTTCTTATGTGCAGGTTTTCTTATACAAAATATTATGCGAAAGGATGTGCTTTCTTCTGAACTGAAATTAATAGCAATAAACTTCGGAAGCACCTAAAAAGCATGTGGCTTGATTACCAGTATGCCAACTCCACATATTTGAAAGTAGGACATAGCTTAGTTGATAGAAGTACCAGCAGGTCTTTAATAAATTGATCACTTATGAATAATAAACATAACTACAGTTTAAAAAATGGCTGTTTTGTTTGAATAAAAGAAAGAAAAGAAAAAGCTTAGCAAATGGTTATCCATGCAGTTAGTCTTCTAGAGCTGACTTAGGAAGTGCACGTAAAATTTTCTCCTGTCCCGAGTTGGGTGTCCAGAAATGTTTTAGTATGGATATTCAATTTGAATGATGAAATAATGCCTTAACCAGAAAATACTTATCTCATTTATTAAGTGATTTTATGCATTAATTTTAGTGACTTGCAAAAGCTAAAAGTGCTGAAGTTCCTATTGTTTGTCTACTTGAGTGTTTGTTGGTGCATCGCGTATGAGAACTGAGAAGTGTTAGATACAGGCACAACAACCAAAGTTAAGAGCCTATAGTGTAAGCGTATATACTACAGATATAGATTTGCAGGATGACACAATAAGGTTACAAGGCTTTATCTGCTGGAACTAAAGCTGTTTACGTTAATAAGAAATCTCAAGTTTGAAAGATCAAAATTTGCTTTGGTTGTTTTTAATAAGTTAAATCCATGTTAACAGATTTGAGAATGAGCTTATTGTTGCTGTTGGAAAAGGAGAACCCGCCGAAGTGATGTCTGAATATGGTTTTAAGTAAGCTCCCTGGCTTTGCACTTTATAGATGTAGGTTGAGAGTGCAAACCTCAAATGCTTAACAATTTCAACGTGATATACTACTATGCTTTAAATTTCAGAAATGTTCTCTCCATAGATGAGTATGCATCTTGTTTTGACAACATTGACCCATTGGCACAATACAAAAAATGGACAGACAAGCTGGATGGTAATCAGAGTAGCAAGTCTAAGCATACAGCTTTGAGCAATGATCCATGCTCGCAGAGAGTGGCGGCGGTCTTTGTTGTTAGTGATTCTGTTGATTGGAGCAGGGACATCCAGGTATTCTTCTTTATAATTAGTGATTTGCAGAAACAACTTCTCAATCAGATTTATCCTTCAATATTTGGCCAATAATTTTTTTTTTTTGAAACTTAATATTTGGCCAATAATTTTGTTTCTTATATTTTTTATTTCCTAATCTATGTTTCCCTTTGATTTGTGAAGTCTTACTGTGGAGTCCCTGTCAGATTCATCCAACTCCCAGAAATTTTGTCTGTTCCTTTATTTCTTATTTTTTTGTGCATTTGCATGCATCTCCATGTCTTACTACATGAAATTAATGTGCTCAAATTTGCTTTCACTCCACCTATTGTGGTTTTTCAATTTTAGGTTCTCTGTGACATTCTAAGGACCGGAGGGCTGCCAGGAAAAGAGATTGCACACCAGCCACCACTCTTTTTTGCAAATGATGACCTTGCCTATCAGGTTTTCCAATGCTAAATAGATCTGATTGTCCTTGCTTTCCTCAACATATTCATAGAGAATGTAACCTTTGCTATCTAACTTTCACTCTAGGCCTTGTTTCCATCTGAACGACTTGGCATGGGTGCTTTCAGAATTGCAGTAGAATCCGTCTTCAATGCGTGAGGCTCATTTCCAAATATCTTGAGACTTGATATAATATCTGATAATTGAGAAAGTAGCTTGCATATAGTGTCGTTATCATGGTCTGATTATAGATCAGCATAAATATTAATATTACATTTCACGTAAGATGGGTATAGAGATGATGTAAATGAAACTGCACCTTGCAGTAATGCACTTCTGAGAGTAGTTTTTGTTGCAGTATCCATCCTGCTGCTCTGAAGTATACGTCATATGGGAAACCAAATCCTTCTGTATTTAAAAATGCGGAGACAGTTCTGATGCATGTTCTACAATCATGTCCCACTAACCATCAAGTTGATGGTAGAAAGCAGTTTTTCAAAACCTTATATATGATTGGTGATAATCCCTCTGTTGATATCAAAGGAGCTCGACAGGTCTGTTCTCTGATTTATTTAAGCTGCTACTCAGCTATTTCATGAACTGCATATAATTCTGAATCTTACCTTTAAGGCTGGAAGTCCTTGGTTCTCTATTTTGACAAGAACTGGTGTCTTCAAGGGGAAAGAAAATCATGACGATTTTCCAGCAGATCTGGTGAGTAAATGACATATTTGACCTATGACTGCATCTACTTTTTTCTTTATACAATAGTGCATAACTGCTTTCTCTTTAATTCCCTCTGCAATCACCCACTCGATCTGGAAAATTAATTTGTAAAGCTAATAAGTGGATGGATGATATTCACTCACATATTTCTAGTATGGTCCATTTCTGGACCGCCATTAAGCAAGTATAACAATGTTCACTAAGGACACATTGCCCAAACATGATCTTCATTTGGTGCAGGTTGTTGACACTGTGGAAGAAGCAGTAGACTACATTTTGAGCAAGGAGTGTATCTCATGATGCACATCTGGTAAAACTCTCACCATGTTTCTACCTTAGATCTGTTAATCGGACTAATTTCCATGAGGAAGATGGTGGTCGTCCTAGCTTTACAGATAAACATTTATATTCCTCTTTTTGGCGAGTGATTTTTTTTTCTTTTCAAATTTATTCTTGTTGCAATAAAGCTTTGGTGAGAGCTCTGCACCTGTTGAAGAAACAGGTGCCGCAAACCTAATTCTTAGATCTGAGATTTAAGTACATAAACATTTTAGCATGTCACTCCCAGATTCCAGTTGATTTATACTCTAGATCATTTCTTGTTGTAAACGATCTTGATATCTGTTTTTGTCAGAATGTCATTGTTAATACTCTATGATTAAAGCTTCAAAATGTTTTTGTTAGTGGTGCTTAAAAATACAAATAAAATGGACCAAAGATAGTATTAATACTAACAATAAGTATACAACGCCAGCAAATTGCCACAGCTGGTTAGAATTAGAATACATTCACTATGTTATTTTAAAAGGGTCTCAAGTGGTTTGTATCAGTAAACGATTTTTTTAATTCCTATCAAGTGATAACTATGTTATTTTATTTTTAATTAGTTGGAGGTTCCAACTCCTTTATTTTAGAAATAGTCTTGATTTTTTCTTTTAAAATAAGAAAAAGATTATGGGGTGACAAATCTTCTAAATTTATATATAATCTTGGTCGGAGAAAAGTCGGAAAAATCTAGAAGGAGATAATAATATAACATTAATTCACTAATAAATCATAAGACATCTGGAGTGTTGCAAATATCTTTCAAATCTATAAATACGTGACACGACAACTTAATAAATAAACAAAATGCATGGCGCAGCATATGAATAGCTATTTTTTCATTTAAAAGTTTGATTATAGTTGTGAGTCATTTTCATAAAAAAAAAAGACATTCCATTTAGTTGCAACATTTTCTCAACATAAATTGTTTGACTAGTGCTCAGTAGCTAGCTTTGCTAACAATTTTAAAAGAAAAACAATCACCCTCGTTTCAGTCTTAATCATCACAACGGTAAAATGTTGATTACTAGGAATTTGTAAACTAGACGCAACTATACGTGCACTCTTATTTGTCACTTCATTTGTAGTTAATCAGCATTAACAATTTGTAAATTAAATAAAAGATATAAACCATATTTAGACAAGTTCGACGACTGAGAAGGTATTGACAAAGAAAATTGATCTCTGATCTCCCTCGTGAGATACTACCTGCTGCACCAGCTCAACTGCCTTTACAATTCTCACTCAATAATATTACTCCATATCAGTTAGTTCAATGTATGTTATTTAGGTGATTCACAATCGTCTTCTTTTGAGTTTAAATTAGGACAAATTACTTAACTACACTCTTTTACTTACCTTAATATCCATTTATCCCTACTTATTTCAAAATTTTCAAAAATCCCTTATTTACCTATGTATCCCGTGCACAACGCTATGTATCCCGCTATGTGGAATGTATCAAACGCTATGTATCCCATGCACAACGCTATGTATCCCGCTAAGTGGAATGTATCAAACCTAATGTATCCCATGCACAACGCTATGTATCCCGCTATGTGGAATGTATCAAATCTAATGTATCCCGTGCACAACATTATGTATCCCGCAAACATCATTTTTAAGGGATTTTTGGTAAATAAAAAACTAGAAGGGATAGGATGTTATTTAGTACTTGTAATATGTGGTTCCTATAATTTATACTTTAAATTAAGGGCATAGTTTGATGCGACTTATGAATTGCGAAATCACAAACCAAGTTTACAACATTTGTCTCTTTACATTTTTATCCACTTTTTAATATTATATATAAGAATGAAAAGGTTCGAATGTATTGTATGTTGTAGGTTATATATTCATTCATTTTGTGTTTTTTCTTGTCATGAAAAATTAAAATAGTCAATATATAGTTGGATTTGGTGGATCAACAGAACAAGACTATACCAATAACCAGAGACGTAGCTGATTGAATATCATTTTTATCTTTTTATTTCTTTCTCAGAAATCAATATTTTTATTTTACAGCTGGGCCGCGGCTGTTTTTTTTTTTTTAATTTATAAAATAAATAAATAATTAATTATCAATATAGTAATGTACTAGTCCTTTTCTTGACAAAATAGAAAATGAAGTAGTACAGTTGGTAGAGAGCATTTTGTTAAAAAATAATTATGAGGGCAAAACAAATTACTAGAAAAGAACAAATGGGCATACGTTCATTTGAGTAGGAGTATTGAACATAACCAAAATACCAAATCGAATCATAAAATAAAATCAAATAAAACAAATTGTGTGGTTTGATTAGGTAGTGAACTTTATTTTTTTTTAAATCATATACTCCATAAACAAATCGAACCAAATTCAATCATATATATAATATTTATCTTATATAAATTTTGTAATTACTTTATACAATTTTTAAATTCTTGCTCCGCTCTTTTTTAACGTGATTTGTTTAATATATAAACACTTACATTTTGGTAATGATCAAGTTTTATTTGTTTGTTTTTCTACTACACGAAGAGTAATTTTAATTCTGGCATATTGGTTTTTTAAAATTATTTTTTCTGCTGGTGGACTTATGTTATTTATTCTATGCTGATTTTTCCCTCTCTTTGTTGTGTTCTCTTTCAATTTTGTTCCTTTCCCTAATATTCAACCAAGGTTACTGAAAATGACATATTTTGGTCAAAACCTACCTACAATAATAAACAATTTGAGTAACTTGACAGATTTCCACTCGTTTATTAGCTCTCAAAAGAAAGCCGCGTTGGAGAAGATGAGCCTTTTGAAGTTATTTTCGGTGTGATTTGTAGATTATGTGTTCGAGTCATGGAGGAAATCGCATTTCATAGGTTGTCTATATCATATTTATTGTAGTGCGATTCTTTTCAGACCTTGTTAACTGAGATGTTTTGTACGTCAAACTATTTTTTTACTCTTTTTGTTGTAGGGCAAATACATAATTTTTATTTTATTTGACAAGTTTTTTAGTAATTAATTTAAAAAGAAAAAATATATATATGTTGATTTTAAAATAAGTTAATTTAATCTTTATATTTTAAATTTGACAATATATTTTTTAATAGTTCGATTGTTTTTTCTTAAATTTTGATGAGATTACACCCGTGGATGAATTCAATGTTTAAGATAAAAGATTCTTAGCATTAAACTCATTATGTACTTAAAGTTATATATTTATATTTAATAATATATTATAAATTTAATAAATTTATGTTTTATATCAAAATATTGAATTCATATGAATCTGTTACGGATACATTGGATCTACCCCGATGAGACAGCAATTGTTGATGAGTCAGCTATGACGACGAGATATATTGATGTGACTTTCTAATATGATTTGACCAAAAAAATCTAGGTATTATTACGTGGCATTTAATTTGAGGATCAGCTGTACCAGAAAAAACTATGTTACACATTTGCACCACAAATACAAAAACCCCAGAAAAAGAGTAGCTTCTTTTTTAATTTAACAAATAAACGTATAAAAAAGGTTAAAGCTATGTGTTCTCTTTCTTCATTTTTCTCTTCTTTCTCTCTTTTAAATTAAGGCAGAAAAAAAACTGAGAGTTTTGTAACTCTTAAATCATTTATTATTATTATTTGAGAAAAAAAGAAGAAGAGAAAAATAGTTAGTAAGAAAGTGAGAGTAGATATATTTTTGAAGAAATTAAAATCATGGGGTGTTTTCCTTGTTCTGGAGATGGAGATACATCGGTGAAGAAACCAGAGAAAAAGATATTTCAAACAAGTAGTAATCATAAATACAAAAGGGTTGAACAGCCACAGCCTAAACAAGGTATTTATATTTACAAATGATTTGGTGAAATTTTTATGGTTTTTTTTTTTGGATTTGGAAAGATTGTTCCTTTTTTGTGCATTTGGAAAATTTCAATGTGGGGTTGTTGGAATTTGATCATATTTTGAATTTTCCAAAACCAAATTTTGTTTTTGTGTCCTGTTTTATGGATCTTGAATTATTATTGTTGCATGCATCTACGATTTTTTAAATCTTTTTCGATATAGTTAATGATTTGATGAAAGATTTTATGGTTATTTTCCATGAATGTGATTGGTATATTAAGGCAACTTTCCATAAGAAAAAATGACTTCCATCGTACCAAGCATATATTATTTCCATTTTTTAAAAATTCCTGGGAGCTTTTTGTTTTTTTGATGACACAAACCTACAAACTTAATATTGGTGGGGGAGGATGTGTACCAAGCAAACATCGTCTTGTCTACCTTATTGCTTTGATTTTCGTTTCAGGTTCTTTTATTTTGCTAATTTTTTTTATGACATCCCGGTAGGAGAAGGGGAAATAGGAAAGGGGATTACAAGGTGGAGAATTGAACCCTCATTAACAAGGTGAAAGTTTACTTAGCCAACTAATTGAGCTATTAAGACCCCTCGTTTTATGTTCGCAAATAATGTCTTCCATATATTTATGTGGCTCTATGCCTATTTCTTTCTTTCATGTTTACAGGATTCTGAAACTTTTGATGTTTTTTTTTTGAGATGTTCATGGAAGGAATTAGTTAAAAAAAAAAAAAAAAATTGTTTTTTTCCTGATAAGGAGGAGGTTGAACATTCTGATTTCTGATTCAGGGTGTTGTCTAGTGTAGCAGATTGACAACAATTTGAGAACAACATTTCTTGGTTCTTTGGACTTTTCTCTGTATATGTTTGATTTTTTTCAAAAAGTTTGGTCCTTTCTCTGTATGAATCTTTTTTTGCTTCTTTGTGTACTACAAAATTTGCGGATCTTGCTGGGATAAGTATTTTGGCCGTTTACTATCCATGTGCTCTTTCATTCTTTTTCTCCCTCCTTCAAATGAGGCCTCCTTTATTTAAACTCCCATCTTTTTGGTGTCTCTTGTTTAATCTTGTTCAGTAGTTACACCGGTGGCTAGTCAATTTAAAGTTGTGAAGAATGAAGAGGGTAAAATTGCAAATCGATCTATGTCTAAGAAAGATGGGGGTTATAGTAACATCCCTCCCACAGATGGGAAAACAGGTGGTGCTAAGGCACAGAGGTTTAAATTCGATCAATTAATAGCTGCAACAGAAGATTTCAAGGAAGATTACTTCTTGGGAGAAGGAGGTTTTGGCAAAGTATATAAAGGTCATTTGGTGGATACTGGTGAGGTCAGCTCGACGCCATTCTTGTCGTGATACTTATCATTCTCCCTTACCTTAAAATCTTTAATACACAACAGGATTGTTTGAATATCTCTCCTCCTTTTATGAACTTATATCCCCTCCAATCTTTGCAAAGTCATTTGAAGTAAGTGAGTGGTTTAGCATTA